TCGATACTTTGGAAAGATTGGAATACAGAGCCGTCACACGTAATATCACGCAAAATTTGGGCTTGAATTACATGTGCTCGTTACAAACCAAACCAAAGCAAAGCAAAACCAAACAAAATAAAACAACCAACGACAACCAAACAGAAAAGAAAAGAAAAAAAATATCTTGTCGTTCAACTTCTGAGGCAGCTGCTGATCGCCCAGGCTTGGGGAGATATCGGACAGGCTGGTAATCTCTTGACTTTCTTTGTTATACCATGAGGCATCTGCCACAGTTATTCGCCAAGGATTAAAGATGTTTCAACAAAAGGAGACTTTTTTTGCATAATACTTTCCAAGTTTTATCATCTTAACTAAGTTTGGCTGCGTTGCTAAAGACCCCCCTCCCCCTTCACCCCTCTTTTTATCTTGATTTCACAAACTGTCGTTATAATCCCCTCCTTCCCCCCCCCTACACACACACACACATACACAGCAACTACAAAAGGATCATCCATCACTAAACGAAACAAATTTTCGACAAACCGCGAAACTTAATGACCTATGTTGACGCAATGGCATGCCTACTCCTTTGTTTTCACCACTACTCTGAGTATTCTTCATCTCCTTACACCCACCGTTAAATCCTTTGCTTACTACTACATCTTCTGAAGTAAAGCAGTCATAATTCTTCGTCTATTTACGTGGACACACAGGATTACATCAGACGGGGGATATTCTCTTTGGTCCTTTGTTTTGAGTTTTGATGACAATATACCCTCTCTGGACATAAGAAAATCAAAGCATTTTCGAAGAAGAGCGGCAGAAATGGGTGAGCTGATTAAATAATGATAGTAATTCTTCTTCTTCTCCTTCTCCTCCTCCTCCTCCTCCTCCTCCTTCTCCTTCTCCTTTTTCTTCTTGAGAAAGTGACATTGTGACACTGTGCTTGTCCCAGAAAGCGTGCTTCTCTGTGTGTGTGTGCCACTTTATGTATCTATGTTTGTGTGTGCATGTATGTGTGTGTGTGTGTGTGTGTGTGTGTGTGTGAGTGTGTGTGTGAGTGTGTGTGCATGGTGAAACACCAAACCATTGTTTCAGGATCTGGACAATAAAAATCTATCTTATCTATCTTATTTTATCTTATCCTTTACATTCTTTCCTTATTCTCTCACCTCAATAAGCATTACTTGTCTGTGACTAGTGGCACATAATTTCAGCTGATCGAATTAAAACAACAACAACAACAACAATAACAACAACAACCAAGCAAACAAAAAATGTAAGATTTCTTTTTCTGGAATGATCTCATAAAATCAGCCATCATAATGTTGATTTGCTTCACTTACCCAAACTGAATGCCTTGTGGTAGTCGGATGAAGGAACATTTTTATTAGATAAGTAAGTAAATACATTAATAAACGAATTTCGCTACCGGATGTTTAACATAAGGAAAGATCTCCCCCTTACTTGTCCCCCCCC